AAAACGAATTCAAATTTATAAACTATGGTGGCTATGAGGATCACCAAACTATGCTATTCTATACACTATTCAATATTTTAATTCGAATATTTATTTTTTGTGGTTAAACTATGGATAAATAAAAGTTATATATAATTTATCATGCTAGATTAAAAAATTTAAAACGATCATGTCATTTAACTTGTCGTCTTTCCGCTTTCAATTAAACTTGACACTCTACGTATTTTTATAATTTCTAAAATATTTATTGATAAATTTAAATTAAAAGTAAGAACAAAATTTTGATTGTTTATTCAAAATTTTCGATGATAGATCAAATTTTTGATAATTCATTTTTAATTTGTTTGTACGAATTTCTTATCAATTTTTTAAAAAAGTGTTATAGTTTATCGAAAATTGTAAAAAGTGCTGAAAAAGTGTTGTAGTTTAAACAAAAATTTTAAATTTTTGGATAGTATAAAACAAATTTGAATTTTTTATAATATATTTTTTCGAAAATTCTGATATTTCTTCAAAAAAAAATTTAGAAATTATTGATTTTTTATTAAAACTTTTAAAATATTTTAATATTGTTTTCAAAAATTTCGATAAACTCAAATTTAATAAAAGCATAAAGATAATAGCAACCAGAATGTCAAATTTAATTTAGAGGTGGCAAATTAAATTAAATGCTCTTTCTATTCATGTTTTATTTATCAACTAAAGTACGGATCACTAGAGGTCAATTTCTATAGAAAATTGTAGGGCAAAAAGTGGAAAAAGACCAAATACATTGTTTCACCTTTTTTAAGTGATATGTTTATAAGAAATTAGTCTTTTATACTTTTTATGTAATAATATAGTCCATTTTTAATCTGTAAAAAATGTATGTTGTTAATCTTTTAACTAAATTTTATTTAAAAAAAGGATATGTCTCTTACTATTACTATGTGATTAAACGAGTGTGTTTAATCAACTAAATTCATCGAATCCTATGATTGATCTATATAAAAAAAAATTATGTATAAAAAATCTTAAGAGATCACCTTACATGTAATGATGGAGAAACAATTCATGTCCGCGAATCCGTCTATTTAACTGACTATTTTTGACACCAAACCATAATTTTCAGTCGATTCACTCTATTTTTCCCATCCGATCCTATTTTTTAACTGATTTAGTAAGGGTTTTTGAAAGGCAGCCTCTATTTTATCCGTCCTGCCTTTAATTTTTGGTGGCTTTTGGACGGTTTATCACCAAAGGATCCTGGATGGTATTCGGAAGGGAGGTGGCACGTCATGAATTATTAAAAATACAGGAATTACCTATGGATTTTTCTGTGGAAATTTATCCGCAGATGTATCTATGGTTTTACCAGCGAATTTATATTGTAAAGCATTATTTCCTGCGAAAACTAAGATAGCAGCAAAGTTCGCAGAAATTACTGAGACTTTACCTACGATTTTGGATTTAGAATAATATATTGTGTGACATTTTCCTGCGATATTTTCTGCGAAATTTTCCTGCGACTTTACCTGCTAAATTAATTACCCAAGGTTTTAGCTGAAAATAGAATGAATCACAGGTTTGTCAAAATCCGCAAGTAAATCCGTAAAAGACAGAGTTTTTCTAATAATTACACAAATTTTTTAGGAGCATCAATTATATATATATATATATATATATATATATATATATATATATATATATATATTTTTTATAAATTTAAAATTTAATAAAAAAATTAACCTTAGATCGAATCACATATGACATATTATATATAATAATTAAAAAATAATTATTAATATATTAAAATCATTCTTACTAATTTGTTACATTATGATATTGTACACATTTTATAGTTTAGTTTGTTTATTTTTTTATTAATTCATATTTCATATGTTAATACTTTTTTGTGTCTATAATACAGGTGTGGGTTTGTTTTGTTCGCTAAGGAATTTGGTAGAGATTTAGAGGCAAATCAACAATAAAAAATCACATGCTATTGGTTACTAATTTATTGTTATTATTTATTCATTATATTTATAGGCTTGTTGTTTGCGTTTGAGTAGTTGAAATGTTGCCTAGAAAACAACTTTCCGGTCATCAAAAGAGGAAAAGAAAGAAATAAATTGAAATTGTTGTTAAATCTCAAAAGGGTACTTTAGATAAAAAATTTAGCAAGCATTTTACAACTTCTATTCAAAATAATTTGAATCCAGATAATTTAGACTCTACGGTGGAAAATTTTGAGGATGAACAATCAAACAAAAATAATAGAACATATTGTTTTGAATGTAGATAACAATGAAAATGAGAATATCCTTACTTTTTACTAATGAACAACCTAATGAGTCTATTCCATTAGAAACTGGAAAAACCATAGAAGTGATTTAAGGGATGAATTGCTAAAAAAATGGTCCTAAAAGAGATGTGTCAATTGTGAATGATCCTAAAAATATCTTTGGTAAACACTTTTCATCCTCACATTACATTCATTATTGTGCTAATGAAGAAAACAGAGATAGGAGTTGACTTGTCTATTCAAAAGAATTGGATAAAGTTTTTTGTTTCTGTTGTAAGATGTTTTTAGAAGTCCTAAAACAAATCATTTAGCTCAAGAAGGTTTCAATGATTGGTATCATCTTACAATTAGGTTTAAAGAACATGAATCAAGTGGTGCACACATGACTTTTATGAGTGATGGGTTGACTTACAAATCAGATTTCAAAAAAATATAACAATTGATAAATATCTTCAAGAGCTTATAAGAAAAGAAAAAAATATTGAAAAAATATTTTGGTTAGGATAATTTCTATTGTTAGATATCTTTCTAGACAAAATTTAGCTTTTCGTGGAACAAATAACAAGATCAATGTACAAAATAATGAGAATTTTTTTTCTCTTATTGAAATGATTTCCAAATGCGATCCTATTATAAAAAGGCACCTTGATCGCATCAAGAATAACAAAATTAATTCCCATTATCTTAGTCATAAGATCTAAAATGAATTGACTAATATGTTAGGTAATGAAGTTAAAATTATAATAATTCAAAAGATTAAAGAAGCAAAACACTTTTCTGTAATACTTGATTGCATTTCTGATGTAAGTTACTAAGAACAAATAACTTTTATACTATGTTGTGTGGATGTTACTACAAGTCAAATAAAGATATAAGAGTTTTTTTATAAAATTTTTAAAAGTTGATGATACAACTGGTCAATGTTTGTTTGAAGAATTACAAAATATTTTAAAAACTCTTGGTCTTGACATTAATAATGTGAGTGAGCAAGGATATGATAATGGATCAAACATGAAAGGAAAATATTAAGATGTACAAAATAAATGTTAGATATAAATTCTAGAGCATTCTACATACCATGTGGTTGTCATATATAGTCTTAACTTGACACTATGTGACATTGAAAAATTTTGTTCTAAAGCTAGAGATTTTTTTGGAGTACTACAACGTATTTACACTATATTCTCTCATTCTACAAAGCGTTGAAAAATTTTAAGAGTTAATGTGAAAGGTTTAACTCTCAAATTATTGTTACAAATACTTTGGGAAAGCCATGTAAATAGTGTAAATGTAATTAAAACTCAAGCTTCAGACATAAGAAAAACTTTATTTCAACTAACTAAACAAGTTAATGATCAAAAGATTAAGAGTGAAGTTGAATCTTTAACATATTATGGAATTGGGAGCTTTGAGTTTTTACTAGCTATGACTATCTGGTTTGAGTTATTATTTGTTGTTAATGGCGTTAGCAAAAGTTTACAAAAAAAAAGACATGTGAATTGATGTGGCTATACAGTTACTAAAATGTTTAATTACTCACTTGAAAAACTATAAAGAATCTGGTTTTACAAAGGCTATTGCTAGTGGTGAAATAATTGCAAATGACATGGACATTGAATGTGTGTTTAATAAAAAATGTCAATTACGTAAAAAAGAAACACTGATTAAAAAACCATCTGAATGCACACAATCAAATCTTGAGTCTGTTGCGGAGTCTTTTAGGATTCATTATTTTTTATACATTGTAGATCAAATAATTGGCTCACTTAGTAGAAGATTTGAGTAATATAGTACATACGAGTATATTTTTAGATTTTTGTTTAATATTGAAAGACTTAAGTCATTTTCTGATGAGAACTTGAAATTATCTTGCATAAATCTTGAATCAAAATCTAGTTTTATGATATTGAGTTCTCTTAAGACATTCAATAGTTTTCCTAATTCATGCATAACTTATAAAATAATATTAACAATTCCGGTTACTGTTGCATCGGTTGAGAGGAGTTTTTTAAAATTAAATTTGTTAAAGTCTTATGTGTGATTGACAATATCGCAGATTAGATTAAATAGCGTTGCTTTGATTTCAATTGAAGATGATTTTTTAAAGAATCTTGATTTTGATCAGATTATTGGTGATTTTGCAGTAAAAAATGCTAGGAGGATGATATTCAAAGATTAATAGCCGAAAGTTGCAGCTAGTGTGAGAATTGGAATGCTATTGGTTCATGTTCGAATTGATAAATATATTATAACTACTTTTGTTATAATTTTATTATAATTTTGATTTGATGTAAAATTTTCAACATTAATATATTTTTTAACTTTTTTTAATTATATATTTATAATTATATAATTTATAAATTCAATAAAAAAAATTATGAAATAAAAAAAGACACTAAATTCATAATTTCCATAATAAATTCAAATTCTCCCAACAACCCAATTTACCACCTAATGCTCTTATAACTTTTTTTAAAGTATATATAAATATTTATTAAGACATACTTTATGTAAGAAAAAAAAAACTATTATTCTATCATTCCTTTTCGAATCTGAATCTTCAAATATATGAAAATATATTCCCTTCCAAGCAAGTATAAATACCCCCTTTATATTGATGGTAGATATCATATATACACACTTGTTCATCTATCACTTCCATTAATATTTCCTATATATACACATACTTCATAATCTTTTTCCAATATAATCAATTATGAAAACGATATGGACAGGACTCCAAGGTTTGAAACCAGTGATGCTTATGGTTTTGGTTCAACTTGCTTATGCTGCAGTTAATGTGCTCTACAAGCTTGCCATCAATGATGGAATGACTGTTAAAGTTGCTACTGCTTATCGTTTAGCTTTTGGTTCAGCTTTCACTGTTCCCCTTGCTCTCATTTCTGAAAGGTTTGATTTTTATACTTTCAGCTTTTTTTTAAGTCATTTTTTTAATTCCATTTCTAACCTCAAATGGCTTTTCTTTTGTTTTTTTATTGAAGAAATAAGAGGCCAAAGCTGAGTTGGAGAGTACTTTTCATGGCTTTTCTTTGCGGCTTGTTTGGGTATGTTACCATACATCACAAAACTATTTAAATTCATTTATTTGAATTTATTAACATTTAAGCACTTATAAACTAGTAAATTAAATATTTATACTATAAACTATAATAAAAATGTTAGTTTTGTGAGTTTTAATATAAGTAAAAAACTAATGTATCTTTTGTACTTTTGAACCAGATACATACGTACATGTACTTTTTATTTATAATTAATCTTGTTAAATCAATTCAGTTAGTAGCTATGCAGCGATATTAAATTATAGATGTGTCAGATTAATTGATAATCTTTCTATTTTAACATTTAGTATAATCTAGTTAAGTCATATCAGTTGGTAGCCTGTGCATCGACATCAGACTCTAGGCATGTCGGTTTGAATTAAATTATGATTAATTAATCAAAGTTTGGTTATGTGATAAATTTTGCAGGGGAAGCTTATTTCAAAATCTATTCTATGAGGCTTTGGCTTTAACATCAGCAACATTTGCATCTGCGATCTACAATCTGATTCCTGCCATCACCTTTATCATGGCAATTTCCTGCGGGTAATAATATTAATTAATCATCAATATTTTCATGCAATTATTACTAACTAATCACTTTGGTATAATATGAGTTTAAATGCAATTTTTTGTGTATATAGTTTTGAGAGATTAAATTTAAGAGCAGCAGCTGGAAAAGCCAAAGTGCTGGGAACTCTAGCTGGAATTGGTGGAGCAATGATGTTAATTTTTCTCAAAGGTGTTGAAATTAATATCTGGCCATTTCACATCAACCTTATGCATCCACATCAACATCAAAATAGCCATGTTGATTTTGGTAGTAAATGGTTGGGTGTTCTATGTGCAGTAGCAAGTTGTTTCTCTTTTGCTCTATGGCTCATAATTCAGGTAAGACTCTCGTAATTTAGAGTTCGGTCGAGAGATAAAAAAATCGGTTAAAAATTGTAACGGTTTTGTAAATTCTTTAGGCTAAGATGAGCAAAGAATACCCAAGTCATTACTCAAGCACAGCTTTAATGTCTACAATGGGAGCAATACAAGCCACTGGTTTTGCTCTTTGTTTTGAAAAAGATTGGAGCCAATGGAAGTTGGGTTGGAATATAAGACTTGTAGCCGTCGCTTATTCGGTAATACTTCGTTTAAAATATATTTTAAATTTGGCAAAAATAATAAAATATAATAACGATCGGAAACTCACACATATAATTACAAGTATCAGAGTTTAAATTTTTATGATAACCTCGACTTCTGTCAGTTAAATTATGATTTGCAAATAATATATTTTTTTTTAATAAACTTTTTTGATGTGATGTTAATTTTAATATTGTTAGGGAATCGTTGCGTCTGGATTAGTGGTTATTGTGACATCTTGGTGCATAAAGATGAGAGGCCCACTATTTGCATCAGTTTTCAACCCTTTAATGCTTTTGTTTGTCACCATTGCTGCTTCTTTGATGTTGGATGAAAAACTATACTTAGGAAGGTACATATAATATATTCCCTTATATAAATGTAAATAAATTACTATAAGAAAATTTGGTTATATTGATAATGAATTAGTGATATTTTGGTGTGTAGTTTGATAGGAGCAGTGTTGATTGTGTGTGGATTATATATGGTTCTTTGGGGTAAGAGTAAAGAGATGAAAAAGATTGCTCAATTGGCTACATCAAAAATTGCACAAGAAGCTGAAGAAGATATTGAAGTTGTTGTAATGACTACACCATTAGAACTAGATCATGATAAATTACATGTCTCCAATAACAATCACATTGAAGTTGATAAAGATGGAGAAATTAAGAGTATTGGAGATGATCCAAAGTGATGAAATGTGTGAAATCTTTATTTTGAACTGCTCCGGATGAAATCAAGTCCGGAGAGCATGTTCTTTTATAGTTTAATTTAATTTTTTTTCACTAATGTTTTTGTCTTTAATTAATTATTTAGTTTACCTAGTCAATTAATGGAGTATAATATACAGATTTTTAGTTGTAATTTCTTTTATGGGTAATGGATTTAGAAATGGACAAAGTATAAACCATATGGTATCTATATCATCTTTAAAAATAATAATAAAAAAATAAAAAAGATTTATAATATTAAATGAAATCGGCTACATAAATTAACTTCCGCCATAATATTATATTGTCATGTTTCTATTCAAATTGTTAATCTCAAGACCTTTCTTAACAATTTTTCTTATAATTTTTCAATGTCTTTATCTGCCTCTAGTAATTTGACTCTTTTTCATCTAATGTTCTTTTCTTACCACACAATTTACATGTTTTCTCTCTATCAGCTCAAAACACCAAAGTCTATTTTCTACCATTTTTTCTACTTTAGGTTATACCTATAAACTCTATTTAACATTGTCATTTATAATCTTATCATATCTAGTTTTATCACACATCTAACGCAACATCTTTATATTTTTTATACTTAATTTGATCTAGTATTAATTTTTAATCGACCAACATTCTGTCACATACAACATAGTAGGTTTTATCGCAGTTCAATAAAATTTCCCCTTCAGCTTGAGCGATAACTTTGTGTCACATGAAACCCCTGAAGCCCTCTTCCATTTCACTCACCCAACGTGGATTTGATTGCATCCTATTATATTTCTCCATCGTTTTGTATTATAGGCCCAAGATATTTAAATCGCATAATTGGTGGAATGATATGATCTCAACTTTCACCTTTAGGTTAGAAACACTTCTCCTTTTACTAAACTTATACTCCATATACTTATTTTTACTTATGCTTAGCTGAAATAATATGTTTCTAAAGCTTATCTCTAAGTCTTCAACATCTCATTTAAATCCTCCTTCAACTCTCCAAGCAGAACTATATCATTTGTAAAAAGTATGTATCTCGGTGCTATCTCTTAGATGTGTTTCTTGAGTATATTCTGAATTTAAGTAAAAAGATAGGGGCTTAGGGTTGAATCTTGATGCAAACCTTTTGTAATGGGGAAATCATATGGCTATTACTTTGTGTTCGTACACTAGACGATACTCATTCATACATATTTTGAATAGCTCGAATATATGCAATATTAACCCATTTCTTCTCTAGGTTTTTTTTCACAAAATATCTCTAGAAACTTTATCATACGTCTTCTCCGATTTACTAAAAATGAATTACAAGTCTTGTTAGTTCATCCAAAAATGTTCCATCACACATTATAGTAGATGGATTTCTTCCATGATCGACCTCCTATAAAGCCAAATTAATTATCAGTGAGTTGAGTTTTTTCTTAGTCTTCTTTCAATCACTTTTTCCATACATTTATCGTATGACTCATAAGTTTAATTCCCCTATAATTTTCACAATTTTGAATATCCCCCATGTTCTTGTATATTAGAACTAAAGTGGTTCTTCTCTATTCATTCAAAATTTGCTTTGACATCATAATTTCGTTAAAGAGTTTGATGAGTCACTATATGCCTTTATCTCTAAGTATTTTTCACACTTCAATAGATATGTGATCTGGCCAAATCTTCTTACTATTACTCATCCTTTTCAACGTTTTCTTTACTTCTTGTTTCTAAATTCAATAATAGAAATTATAATTTTGATCCTCTTTTCTAAAGTCAAGCCTGCTAGAGTACTTGCACCTAACATATTCTTCATTAATTGCATAAATTCATCTTTCACCTATCCTTCATATCTTTTTTCCTGAACGAATATTCTGTCTTCTTCATCTTTAACATACTTCACTTGATCCAAAACTCTTGTCTTTTTCTCTCTTCCATTATCAAACTTATATATATTTTTCTCCCTCATTGGTTTCAAAAAATTTGTACAATCCGTCACATACTTGGGTTCTTTCTTCACTCACCTCCTTCTTGGTCCGGTTCTTATATTTCTTATACTTTTCTTGAGTGTATGCATTTTTACACCTAGATCATTCTTTAAAATAATAATTTTTTACTCTAACTTTACTTTGAACACTCTCATTCTACCACCACCATTCTTTACACCTAAGTTCAAAACCTCTTGATTCTACAATGTTTCTTTAGTTTTTTTTCTTATCTCCTTGGCCATATTATTCCACATATCATGTGCACTTTCTAGTGGTTTTCCAAACCCTTCATCCAAAATCTTGTGTTGGAAACTTCCTTGTTTTTCACCCATCAAATTCCACCACTTGATTTGTGGAAATCCCGTGTGACTTCTTCTCTTGTATTTCCTTGTGATTCTACATCCATAATCAATATTTTATCGTGGGTAGTCAAGCTCTTTCCTAGAATAACTTTACACTACAAGAAAATCTTCATAAATGACTTCCTAATAAGAAAGAAATTTATATGAGAACATGTCACCCCACTCTTATATGTGATAATATGTTCAACTCTTTTACTAAACCATGTATTAGATATATTATGATCAAAAGCCAACAAAAACTTCAAATGGATTTACCCATCGTATTTGCCTCTTTGAGATCATAATTGTCATGCACACCCTTAAAACCTCTCGCTACGCTCCCTACCTGTCCATTTAGATCTGCTCCTAAAAAAAATTTCTTTCCTCGGGATATATCCTAAAATAAGCCTTTTAATTAAATCCTCCAAATTTAACCTTAAAGTGTTCTGCTAACTTAACTTGAGTGCGTAAGCACTAATAACATTAAAGGTTTCTTATTACACTACAAATTTCAAGACTATGATTGGATCTCTTGATCTTTTCACATCCACAATATCCTTCTTCGAATCCTTGTCCATAATATTCTCCACCTCATTTCTCGGTCTATCTTTTTTGGTGTACTAAAGTTTAAATCTCAAGTTGTCTAATTCTTTCGCCTAGTCACCTGTCCACTTAGGTTTTTGTTAGCACATGAAATTGATCTTCTTTCTAACCATAATGTCCACTATTTCCATAGATCTTTCAGTAAGCATGCCTATATTATATGATCCAAAATAAACCATACTCACATGAACGAACTTTTATACTCACACTTGTTTACAAAAGTGTGAGAACTCTTGCTTTCCAAACGACGATGCAATGGTCATTTCCTTTTTGACATTGTACTCGAGCAATATATTGTGTTGCTTACAGATTATTCATATTATTTCTTAGTTGATTCATATCATAGAGATTCAACAACATTTTATCCTGGTTGTCGACTACCTAACACAACTTTCTCATTTTATCCGGACTTGGAACCGGATACACATAGTCAGCTAACATTGGCAGAACTTCTATATTATCTTAGAAGCAATTAAATTGGTCAATTCAATAGCATAGATTAAAGTTTTTATGGGTGTGGATCACCCGCAAACATATTGACCCAAATCCAACCAATCTAATAATTATTCAAAGTCATTCGATTATGAATATACACAATAAAACCTGCAACAACCTGCATAGTTTTGCTCCGTCTATTGAATTTGAGATTTTCAATCCATATACTCGTTTGTGACATTAATAATTTTTAATTTTTAATTATTATTTTAAATGAAAAAGAAAAATTAGTATATGACTATTAACCACTTTGTGGCATTAATTTTCATTCACCATGAATGTTAATAGACCAATATGGGGATATCAAATGTATGTTAAGATTAAGTATTCTTTCTTATTTGTTGGATATCATTTTCATTTTAAAGATTTTATAGAAATTATGTGTCTTTGTAGAATTTACGACTAAAATTAAGTGTTATTTTATATAGATTAATTTTATTAATTAGATATTATATACTGTGTTTCATACAATTTAAGAATTAATTTTTTAGACATGTTGTGTTTCATACAATTTAAAAGTTGAAAATATGTGCAATTATATTGAGTTGTGCTATAATTTTTTTTAGAATTGAAAACATATTATTAAATGTTTTTATTTTTATTTTTTGGTCAAGTAATTTAGTAATTGCAATTCACTTTTTAAAGGTGAATAAGTAAAATATTGTGAATTTGAACTTGTGTCTTTATATCTGATATCTCAATACAGTTATCAATTGATCTAACTTAATGATATAAATATTTTTTTTATTTTATTTTATGTATAACTTACAAATTCAACCAAACTCAATCAATAATTAAAATAATTGATCCGATTCAATTTTGATACTAAAGTTATGGCTTGGATAAGAACTCAACTCATTATAAATTAAAAAATAAAAAACTAAAATTATATTTTATTAAAACTGTAAAATAATTTATAATTATATATAATTATTTTTTCTAAATTGACTTATAAATTTCTAAAAATATTAATTAATAATATATTTTAAATTTTTGAATGAAAATGTAGCGATAAAAATTGATTTATGTGGTTGCATTTAGTACATAATCCACCTTAATGATTTAGGTTCTGTTTGATAAGATATTTTTTGAACTTATAGCTTATAAACTCATATGACAATAAAAGACCTATTTAATAACAATCTTTTCATCACGAGTTTATAGTTTATTTTATTTCCTTATAGCTAGGGCTGGAAATGAGTCGAGTCGAGTCGAACTCACCTCAACTCGGCTCGACTCGTTAAGAATTGTTCGAATTCGAGTTCGAGTTCGAGTTCGACACGAACTTTTTTTTAAGCTCAAACTCGACTCGTTATAAGTTCACGAACAGTTCGGTTCGACTCGTTAGGTTCATCTCATTAGGTTCATCTCACATGGTTCACGAACTTAAAAACTATTTTTTAAAATATATATTTTTTATTATATTTGACATTTTAAATAAATAAATATATTTTTAAATAAAATATTAAAATAAAATAAAAGGTATCATATTGAAATTTAACTTTATCTTCGAAATCTACTAATTTAAAACCTACACAACTTTCAAGAGATACGTTTGAGAGTCTAATTCAAAAACTA